TGTATTTTCTTTAGGGGGACATTTTAGGTATGTATGTACGTAGGTATTGTTAATGGCTAGGCCTTCTGTTCTCAGGTATTTACGTTTCTCTAAGTCTGCATTCTTTGCAGCTCAGATGAAACTAGGCTTTGGATAATTGTTGCTTCAAACACAGAGTCCCATTTTAACCTCCCCACCTAAATATTTCGGAAACTGCGTTTTCAAAATGAAATTCCAAAACGCAGGTCGTAGAATTTCGAACGGGAAGAATCGTGACCTTGGCATTGACATCGACCTCGACTTCCAAATTCAAGTGAAGATTTTTAAACGGAATCCCTCTTTTTCTCATCAAAATTGGGCATGATCCTGACCATTGCTTTCAATGCCAGCTCAAAGTCAAATAAAGACATCGAAGACCATGTCCTTGGTCATGACCTTGACCCTGACATTTAAAGTCAAGTTAGTCAAGGTCGTGTCAAGCTTAAATATTATTCCAGGTCAAAGTCACATTCGGGCGTAAAATTTCTTACTCTTTATTTTTTTATTTGGACGTATAATTTGCCCCTGTTTCCAATTGCGATATAAAAAAGTGGGTTACCTTTGAAAATATTCATTTTATCATTGTCAAGGACATTGCAGAATATTTTCGGAATATTTTGGTTGAGCGACTAAAATGTGACACCGTGTACATGTAACTGCTGCATCATTTTTCATGCCGCCTGTATTACCCACCAAACCTCGTTCACTGTGTATATGATGTAGTGTGTAGCTGATGTACCATAAGCCTCACCGTTTACCTCTGAACAATATATCGTCGCTGGGTCCTTAACCACAACTCAGGATAGTACTGGTGTTCGGTAAGGGTCCCGTTCGCGATAACCCCTGCGATCCGCTTTGTATTCAAATTCGCTGGCACGATCTGCCTCCGCCACGCCAGCTGCACAGCTTTTGTGTGAAAACTGATAATCGTGGAATTTATAAATATCCAACTGTTTGAAGCTGTCTGGTAGCAATCGAACACCATTATATACATGATACATTCTTCGACATGATAAGTTCCTCCCCATATATTTGTTACAGCTAAAAGTCCCATTCTGTTGAAAGCTCTTTCATATGCACAGAGGTAACAGGAATAGAACCAAGTGAGAAATGCGCTCCGTTAAATTGTATATTTTTAAACGATTAGAAATAAGCAGAGATATTCTCAGCGTACAAACACCGTACTTCAAAGACTCAAGGAAAAAATGTAATATATTTGAAAACAGCGACCTAGATGGCGTTTTTATTATTTAATTTGTTTAGGCTCTAGGCTTTACCTCTGTGTCAATATACAGGGTGATTCACAAGTCGTGACCAGAAATCACTTTAAGGGTCTTGATGTTTAAAAATAAACGACATTTTTTTTCTAATACCTTTAAAACCGTCGACTGGAACGAACTAAAATTTGGTATGTGGATTTACCTAAAAATTGTCCACAATCAAAAGTCTTTACTTTAATAATTAATATTCACCAGTGGCGGAGATACAGCGGATTAGGGGCATTATTTTTGCAAATAAAAATAGTACGCCAATGTTTTTTTTTCGAAACGCGAATTTTTTTAATTTTACCACCAATTTGCTACAAATAACTACTCTTGTTTTACTTCCTAGAGGTACATTGTTTTCGTAAAAATAAAAAAACAGATTAGATAATCAAAGCTTTATTTCAATAACTGTTCAAAAAGACCACCATTCTGACGGATATAAGTGCGGCATCTTTTTAATAAAGAAAAACGTATTTCCGCAAAATTTGTTGTGGCTTGAATTTGATGAAAATAATATGTTTTCATTCTGTCTTGTAACTGACCAACAGTATCAATTTGTTCAGCATAAACTAGTTGTTTAAAAGCGCCCCAAAAAAAGAAATCCTTTGTGTTCAATTCACGGTTCTGCCAATCTATAATCAATGTCTAAAATGTAGTTCTCGAGAAAAGCTAAGTATGACTTTGCATTTAAACGTTGTGTTCCACTCCTCGTATAAAGCGATTCATCTTACCACAAAGCCATATCAATAAAATCTGCATTTTGATTATGCATTTGCAGTAACCACTCACAACAATTTCGCCGTTTCACTTCGTCGCCGGGCTGCAGACATTGCACATTTTGCCGATGGTAAAGATGTAAAATTCTCCACGCAAGACTTTGGGAACATCGTATCAGGGCTGCAAACCGCTCAGTACTTATACCAGGATCATCCAACGCCAAATTAATCATTCCAAGTTTCTCTTGAACAATATGCCGGGCACCATGGCCTCTAACTCCGGGGGGTTTGGCAATTCCATATTGCCGAAGTCTTAGAAATGAACCCGTAAAAAGTCTAGAGGTAGGTTGGCGTATGTTAGGAAATCTACGTTGATACTCCCGAGAATCCGCTAAAACATTTCCACACGTACACAAAAATAATATCGGCAAATCCCATTTCCCAACACTTAAAAATGGAACACAGAAACGTTTGACTTGAATATCACAAAAAATGGTAGCAGTAACGATAACAACTGTCTAACATTCCTTTGACAAACTATCTTCCAAGAAACGCCAAGTTGGTATCAAGGCCTCCTATTTTATTTTGAAGGTACTTGTATCTCGGCTCTTCATGAATTATCTAATTTATTTTGTTTTTATTTATACGAAAACAGTGCACTCTAGGCGAAAAACATAAGAGTAATTATTTGTAGCAAATTGTAGCTCAGCCACTGGAGCACGTTAATTTTAAGTAAAGACTTTTGAATATGGACAATACATAGGTAAATTCACATACCAAATTTTATTTCATTCCAGACGGTTTTGAACATATTAAAAAAGGGGTTTTTTATTTTCAAACTTCAATCTTTTCAATGAAAGCGTCGAGGATTAAATGTTACATAGAAGACCCCTCTTAAAATGCGGTCCTGTGTATGATGTTACATTTTTGGTGACGACTTTTGAATCACCCTGTATATTTCAATCTTGAAAAATTTCATTAAACTATACTCAAGTTTCTACGGAAGAGAATATTTCATAGAAAGTTTGACACCATTTGACTTGAAAAAGAAGCATGTGTTTTTGATACTTCCTTCCCTCCTTGCTATTCAATTATTTTAAGGGCTCTCAGAAGTACTGATGTAGGAGACATTCCACCCCACCATTCTTCAATTTTGAATCTCTAACTCTCCCCCCTTTTTCGAACATGATTCCCCCTAGTTTCTTGTGGATACGCCAGTGACTCTCAGTGTGAATAATTTTGAACTACAGTAACTATATCAGTGTGCTCAAGCTGTGATTATGGGAGCCCGATCCACCGCCTTCATTTACTTCCATTCACGCGCCTCATGCTGCCGTGAAAAGCAACAACTTCGTAGACAATTTAAAGATGTGTTTATCAGGACGGAGGGCAATAACAATAGGGCACTTACAAAGGGCCAGGCCGTTCCTATTGAGAACTGGCAGACGGTCAAAGATACCTATCTGGTAGCTAGAGCTGTTCTTTGCAGGACTATCAAGATGACTCCGCTCCAGAGAAAAGCGTTTCGAGCAGGAGATAAAAGTCCGGGAGGTTAGAAAGTCGTGGGATGATGGTAGTTTATCTACGAAACGCCCTATTTCTCGCCTTTTGGAAGGTTTACGGCTCACGGGGTATCGTGAAAAGTGTTTTGTGTGGATTACCCCCTGTATCCCTAACGCCTAAAGTGCCGTCGTATCACTTCTCCATAGCAGGGCCATTCTTTGCAAAATTGACTGTTGCTTTGTTGTTACTCGAAGGAAACACCGCTTAGTTTGGACAGATATTGGAGATCTATATAATGTCGCTGTGCCTTTTCACCTGTACTACGGGAACATTAATGTGAGACAACTTAAAGCACAGTCATATAAGTGTGTCGTTAGCGTTGATGTAGAAGTCATGACGTCTATCCTTCTGCAATGCTCCGAGGCAAACCAGAACTATAAGATTCATCAGCCTTTTGAGACGTCAGTAATGTTAAAATTGTCTATAAAAGGATAAAATCTACCAGAGGGCTTTAAAACTAGATTCCGAAGAAGCTGTTGAAGATATATAAAAATAAGTGACTAATCTCCCGGATGCATGTGCAGGATGTCCTGAAAGTTGTGAGTCTGCACGAACAAGGATATCATTTATTTTATGTGATATCTACCTCGACAACCTCTGTAGGATATAAACTGATCGACGTAGCTACGGATGGAAACATCCAGGAGTTCGATCTGAATAGCGCGGCGTCTTAAAGGCGTTCACGGTAAGCTAACACAACTCTGTAGCTGCACTACAGGAATGTACTACTTTCAGTTTTTCAAATCCTAGTTGCAAATATGTTAACCTAAACATCGCGCGGTGCCTTATTTAGATACAGATCCACGAGCTACTTTTCCACGTTGGATACTTGGCCAGGCTGGCCCATTTAGTAAATTGGCCCATACAAATTCATAATCGGGTAAAGTGGCCTACTTCAAATAAAATGATAATAAAATAAAGATTTATTCAAATTTTGCATAGAAAAAATATTTATTGTAAGCAACAGCACTATCACAATTGTTCAGGTAATTGTTTATAACTCAAAGTCTTTTGATTGTTTATACTTATAAAATTATTAAATAAATGTAACTTTCCTTCATTTAATGACAAACTAAATAAAGTTTTAATTACTAAACTATGAAATGCAAATAACAAACTCTTCATTATTCATTAACATTCAATAAAAAGAAAATATTCTCACGAACAGAATTCGCAATGAAAGACATCATCGGCGTCATCACAACCCGAGCATGCTTCATGGGCCCATCGCTTGCAGCTAGAGCACTGTATCCAGCCATCTTCATGTTTTGATTTAGACCAAACTTCCCCACAGTAAACGCATTCAGGGTCATCATCGGCCTCATCATCAGTATCGTCACTTTTCTTAATTTTAGCATTGTTTGTATTTTTACCACGTTTTTTAACGTTGGTTTCAGCTTTAAGTTTTTTCCCAGTTTTAGTTGGTTCAAAAATAGCTTTAGTCACTCTCTTCAGTTCTTTTTTTTTGTTGTTGCTGTGTTTTTTCTTCCTGTAACTCATTTTTATAAGGACTACTCGTTAAAATTGCTGTGCTCTTTCTATTTATTTTTCTAATTTTAGCCAATGCTTTGGGAATCGGAAATAAGTCTTCAGGCGCTACCGCGAAGGATGTGCTGGGTTGTAGGTCTATGTAAGGGTTCAATATTGGCGAAGTAACTGGTAGCGTTACATTAATATTTTCTTCCTGATCCAATGTTGGTGGCGTAACTTGTAGAATAGATGGAGACTCTACTCTTTCAGGTGTCTCATTCTCATTATTAGCTTCATTTTGTTGTAGTTCCTGCTCAAGAAGAATGTTATCTGTTGTGTCTGCTGGCACAAAATCATAATCTTTGAATACGTGGCGATCCATTGGTTCTACCCCACATTTACGAAATCCATTGATTGCAATGGATTGTTGTGCTGCCTCGCTGTATGCTTCGCCAAAAAGTTGGCTGAATTGGAACACAGTCAAGGCTCTTCCTGGGTTATTGCGAAGATACTTCTCAACTGCACGGATGTAATACTTATTCAAAGGACCCATAAAAGACACGTCCAAAGGTTGCAGTCTATGACTGCAGTGTGGAGGCAGACACAAGACGGTCGTGTGATTTCTTCGTGCCATATCAATGAAATCCAAATTCTTGGTATGTGAATTGTGTCCATCCAAAATTAGCAGTGCTGGATCATCTTCAGTCGGCTTGGCAAATTTAAGAAAATGCTTAAACCATGCCGTAAAAATGTCCAACTGCATCCACCCTGACGAATGGCACGCAAAACCAGTTACTGGCGGTGCCCCATCTTGAAGTTCAACCTTCATTCTCTTCCGGGGAAAGATAATAAAAGGTAAAATGAAGTTACCGCCAGCGGCCATGCAAATTACAACGGTGCTTAATACACCTCGTTCTGCAGAGGTGATGGCACCCACCTGCTTCTTTCCCTTTTTCGCAAGTACCTTAGAACTCTTTATTGAAGTTGTGTTTTATATTGTTGCGTTCAGCTAGTTGAAAGGCTAATTTCCTTACATCCCGCAATGTTAATCCGTAGAAACGATTCTCAAGTTCCAAAATGTGTTGTACTAATTGTGCCTCTTGTACCGGACTAAAAATTGGACGTCGTGACCCCAGTATTTTAACATTTTCAACAGCATGTTTGTTTTTTCCTTGTACACGCCGTTTAAGCGTTGATCGGGGAACACCGAAGACTGTGCTAGCTTTAAGAAAGCCCATTTCCCCATTTCGTACAGCTCTAATAGCTTTTTCCATCGCTTCCGAATCCCATGTCTGCTGCTGCGTCGTCCGTGTATATCTAGTTGGCATATCTAAAATAACACAAACCATTATATGGTTGCAGGAAAAAACACTAAAAAGGTAAAGTGGCCTACCGGGTCACTTTACCTTACCGATTTGGTAGGCCACTTTACCCGAATTGGCATGCGGCGAAGAAAAAAATAATTCAAATAACAAATGAGGTTATATTGACCTACTTTGCGGTGGAATGAATTGCTCATTTCATACACTAAACCAATAAAATCGTACATTGTTTCTCTGTGAATCTGATGACAATATATTTTTACTATGTTTAAACCACTCACCTTAGATCAAAGACCACTAAAATATATTTTTTCACAATAAAATCCTAAGACAAGCACTGATCCAGTTGATGGTCACGGAAGCAATATGGCGTCAACCAATGATATTATTCCCATATCCCGTAATAGATGGCGCTTAATGGTTCGTTTTTAAAATGAAGGTGGCCACTTTACCTGCCTGGGTCACTTTACCCGACCTTCCCCTACTTCCTGCCTGTACAATGGAGTGTTCCGTTCAGGCAGTGTATTGAATCTAAATAAATAAATAAATAAATAAATAAATAAATAAATAAATATGTTTTCACGTTGGTGTGACGAAACCGAAAAGCAGAAATGTGCGTCACTCGTGAAACCAATCCTTTTGTTTCTGTTCCTATTCCGGTATTGCGAACATAACCAGGATTGTCATTTGTTTTTTATCTAAGTTTCCACAAGACTACTTGTCTGCCTATTTACTCACGCTGATGAATTACATAATGTCATTCAGGCATTATTTGAGAAAATCTTCAATAGCTTCTCTGTATTATACCTATATGTACATATGTATATGTGACAAATAAATAATAAAAGCTAATGCTATTAAAAACACATTTCGATTTATCAGCAGACTCATAGCTTATTTGCTATATATGATATTTCATTACTATGCCCGAATCAAGTGCATGAGCTATGATTAAAGCCTTCCAAATTCTTAGTTAACATTATATTGCATTATAACATGGAACTATTTTATGGTATGCGGTAGCAGTTTTTGCTTGAAATTTTATCGTCTCCTAATAGCATGGGGTTTATAGCTTACAAAGTCGCTCTATAAAACGGTATACACAGTAAAATTCACATACGTTTTTAAGGACATCAAATGAACTGAATGGCAAGTTTTAGATTTACTAGCCATATCCTAGAAATTGGCAAATAAAACTTCGCTTCTGCTTTACGAGTGTTCAAGACGGTTTGTTAAATTCAACGTTTTATAGCTCAGTTAGAATTTCAGATATAGCATCAGGGAGATGTTATTGAATGTCTTAAGACGGCGTCATTAGCACAATTCATCAATGCGGCAGCTAGGTACATTATAGGTTAGGGCTATTATCATCAAATACTTAACAAATCATACATACTTCCTTGAAATGTTATGTTAGTGATTTATAGATAAATTATTTTTTAGCTGCCTATTTATTGTCTTAATTTCTGAGATAAATGGAGCAGAAGAATGCGAGGTAGTCTTTGTGCAAGCTTTTACCAGACATCATTGTTCTCATAATCCCCCATGCTTCTCGGGCCAAATTAAACTACATATGTTTAGAATTCCTCTTTATTGTACGAGGTTTCGGTCCTAATGACGATCTTCTCTAAATGCAATTGTCACTTTGTTTTGACAATATATTTTGATTGTGTCTTCCAGGTAACACTTCGTTTGTTTTCTGCTTTCACCTTCACATTCATGTACAGTGTGCTACCACAATTGTCTGAAAGGTCCTGTAACAAGCTGAGTTTGGGCGAATCCACTATTCCAAAGACGATAGCAATTACAAAAGGAAGATAAGGGAATCAGCCTATACATACTTAAACAACAATTGTCTGTCTCTTTCTTCTGTAGACTGTTACCCAATTTGGTTGATTTTTTTTTCGAGGGAAAAGTCTCATTGATATTCTCCAACCTAACTAATGGATCAAGAGTTTTTATCCAGGTTTTTCCTTATGGTGTGTTATTGGATGTCAAATGCGCAGATGTTCTACTTCGCCATCTCAATGCCAAACTGCTGTGTCTTTCTTATATTATTTCCTCATAAGACAAACAACATGGTTCCTTTTAATTCTTCGCATTATGGGTCTCTAAACAATGCACAATCATGCAGCATTTTAGTCGAAGATTGCATAACACTTAATCAGAGTGTTAAGACAATAGTTCTCGGTGGGTTTTCGCGTTTTCGGGGGGCTTTTGGCTTTTTTGGGACGATGGATGAGAGTGACATGTCTGGTACTTGAAAAAAGGACAGGTAACCTTATGACCGTCTGTTGCTTTTGAGGGCTGGTCGTTCTTTTGGGATCGGGCTGTCCTTTGCATTGCCGATTTTGCCCGGTGTCATCTTAAAATTGGAATGACGGCTTTTCCCAATCTCCGTATTTTACAGGACCTGTCAAGAAAGTTTGACACCATTTGACTTGAAAAAGAAGCATGTGTTTTTGACACTTCCTTCCCTCCTTGCTATTCAATTATTTCAAGGGCTCTCAGAAGTACTGATGTAGGAGACATTCCACCCCACCATTCTTCAATTTTGAATCTCTAACCCTCGCCCCTTTTTCGAACATGATTCCCCCTAGTTTCTTGTGGATATGCCAGTGACTCTCAGTGTGAATAATTTTGAACTACAGTAACTATATCAGTGTGCTCAAGCTGTGATTATGGGAGCCCGATCCACCGCCTTCATTTACTTCCATTCACGCGCCTCATGCTGCCGTGAAAAGCAACAACTTCGTAGACAATTTAAAGATGTGTTTATCAGGACGGAGGGCAATAACAATAGGGCACTTACAAAGGGCCAGGCCGTTCCTATTGAGAACTGGCAGACGGTCAAAGATACCTATCTGGTAGCTAGAGCTGTTCTTTGCAGGACTATCAAGATGACTCCGCTCCAGAGAAAAGCGTTTCGAGCAGGAGATAAAAGTACGGGAGGTTAGAAAGTCGTGGGATGATGGTAGTTTATCTACGAAACGCCCTATTTCTCGCCTTTTGGAAGGTTTACGGCTCACGGGGTATCGTGAAAAGTGTTTTGTGTGGATTACCCCCTGTATCCCTAACGCCTAAAGTGCCGTCGTATCACTTCTCCATAGCAGGGCCATTCTTTGCAAAATTGACTGTTGCTTTGTTGTTACTCGAAGGAAACACCGCTTAGTTTGGACAGATATTGGAGATCTATATAATGTCGATGTGCCTTTTCACCTGTACTACGGGAACATTAATGTGAGACAACTTAAAGCACAGTCATATTAGTGTGTCGTTAGCGTTGATGTAGAAGTCATGACGTCTATCCTTCTGCAATGCTCCGAGGCAAACCAGAACTATAGGATTCATCAGCCTTTTGAGACGTCAGTAATGTTAAAATTGTCTATAAAAGGATAAAATCTACCAGAGGGCTTTAAAACTAGATTCCGAAGAAGCTGTTGAAGATATATAAAAATAAGTGACCAATCTCCCGGATGCAGATCCACGAGCTACTTTTCCACGTTGGATACTTGGCCAGGCTGGCCCATTCACATTTTTTCGGAACGTCGGTTTTCCTAAGATTTTGGTACTATGTGTTACTAGAAACGTTGTTTATTGCTATATAACTATATATGTAAAGAAGAATACAAACTTTAAGAGAGCCCTGCATGGCAAAAAAATAATGTATCCTATGGAGGCACAGGCTTCTAAAAGAGCTAACTGGAAACTGACTTATCTTAAATAACCCCTGACTAACCCTCGAATGTATAGCTAATGTCAATGATGTCATTGTCAAACCTAACCCTTAGTTGATTTCGATTAAATGAGCTGTTTTTGAGAAAAATATTTAAGTACTGCTCTTATCGATTCACACTTTAGATAACTGCGCTGATGACATGTTATCAGAATTTCTAAACGGTGGAACCAGTATATTAGATCAAGTATCATAATTGATATAACTGTACTGAAGCAAGACTGATTTTGCCAAAAACTGCACATTATATCGAATCAGATAGGAGTATATCTTTTTAGATGAAGGTACACGCCTACCAAAAAAATCGTCTTTTTATGACACAAACTGTTTGAACATCTTCATGCGAGACCCCAACTGATTACTATGATGTTGAATAACAAAAGACGATGTGGGAATGTTTACAAAAAAGGATCAGGGACATAAATAGAAAGATTGATGGCACGAGCGACGTACGTTTCCAACAACGAAAACAACGAAGTGAAAACATACGCCCATTACATCTAGGTTCAGGTGCAATCTGAAGGAACAGAAGGGTGGCAAAGGGAATACACCTACAAGCCACCAACAAGAGCCAGAACGCACATTTGTGATGAAAAACAAAGGACAATCGCGGATATGCCCGCAATTAAGGAATCCTGTTTCTCTAGAAAGAGGATGATTGGTATCACTCCCAAATGGATGTGCCGACCGAAGCCACAAATGTGCCTTCTGACACGTGTTGGTGACTTGCAGCTGTATTTCCCTTCCCCTACCTGTTTTCCTTCATGTTATAGCCGTATCCAGATGTGATGAGCATATGTTTTCACGTTGGTGTGACGAAACCGAAAAGCAGAAATGTGCGTCACTCGTGTTACCAATCCTTTTGTGTCTGCTCCTATTCCGGTATTGCGAACATAACCAGGATTGTCATTTGTTTTTTATCTAAGTTTCCACAAGACTACTTGTCTGCCTATTTACTCACGCTGATGAATTACATAATGTCATTCAGGCATTATTTGAGAAAGTCTTCAATAGCTTCTCTGTATTATACCTATATGTACATATGTATATGTGACAAATAAATAATAAAAGCTAATGCTATTAAAAACACATTTCGATTTATCAGCAGACTCATAGCTTATTTGCTATAGATGATATTTCATTACTATGCCCGAATCAAGTGCATGAGCTATGATTAAAGCCTTCCAAATTCTTAGTTAACATTATATTGCATTATAACATGGAACTATTTTATGGTATGCGGTAGCAGTTTTTGCTTGAAATTTTATCGTCTCCTAATAGCATGAGGTTTATAGCTTACAAAGTCGCTCTATAAAACGGTATACACAGTAAAATTCACATACGTTTTTAAGGACATCAAATGAACTGAATGGCAAGTTTTAGATTTACTAGCCATATCCTAGAAATTGGCAAATAAAACTTCGCTTCTGCTTTACGAGTGTTCAAGACGGTTTGTTAAATTCAACGTTTTATAGCTCAGTTAGAATTTCAGATATAGCATCAGGGAGATGTTATTGAATGTCTTAAGACGGCGTCATTAGCACAATTCATCAATGCGGCAGCTAGGTACATTATAGGTTAGGGCTATTATCATCAAATACTTAACAAATCATACATACTTCCTTGAAATGTTATGTTAGTGATTTATAGATAAATTATTTTTTAGCTGCCTATTTATTGTCTTAATTTCTGAGATAAATGGAGCAGAAGAATGCGAGGTAGTCTTTGTGCAAGCTTTTACCAGACATCATTGTTCTCATAATCCCCCATGCTTCTCGGGCCAAATTAAACTACATATGTTTAGAATTCCTCTTTATTGTACGAGGTTTCGGTCCTAATGACGATCTTCTCTAAATGCAATTGTCACTTTGTTTTGACAATATATTTTGATTGTGTCTTCCAGGTAACACTTCGTTTGTTTTCTGCTTTCACCTTCACATTCATGTACAGTGTGCTACCACAATTGTCTGAAAGGTCCTGTAACAAGCTGAGTTTGGGCGAATCCACTATTCCAAAGACGATAGCAATTACAAAAGGAAGATAAGGGAATCAGCCTATACATACTTAAACAACAATTGTCTGTCTCTTTCTTCTGTAGACTGTTACCCAATTTGGTTGATTTTTTTTTTCGAGGGAAAAGTCTCATTGATATTCTCCAACCTAACTAATGGATCAAGAGTTTTTATCCAGGTTTTTCCTTATGGTGTGTTATTGGATGTCAAATGCGCAGATGTTCTACTTCGCCATCTCAATGCCAAACTGCTGTGTCTTTCTTATATTATTTCCTCATAAGACAAACAACATGGTTCCTTTTAATTCTTCGCATTATGGGTCTCTAAACAATGCACAATCATGCAGCATTTTAGTCGAAGATTGCATAACACTTAATCAGAGTGTTAAGACAATAGTTCTCGGTGGGTTTTCGCGTTTTCGGGGGGCTTTTGGCTTTTTTGGGACGATGGATGAGAGTGACATGTCTGGTACTTGAAAAAAGGACAGGTAACCTTATGACCGTCTGTTGCTTTTGAGGGCTGGTCGTTCTTTTGGGATCGGGCTGTCCTTTGCATTGCCGATTTTGCCCGGTGTCATCTTAAAATTGGAATGACGGCTTTTCCCAATCTCCGTATTTTACAGGACCTGTCAAACTGTACAGAAATGTGAATATGAAAAAAATCTAGGTCGTTGCCAGACTCCATCATTATATCTTCCTTGACATTCTGATTATTTCTGGCCATGATCAAAAATTGTTGGTTTACAGTGCAAACTTTGGATGTTTCTAGACTACCTAATAATTTTAAGGGTGAAGGTGGCTCAATAACTTTTATTTTTTAATCAAGCCCAAAAAGAAAACTATATGGCTAAGACGTTTCCATTAGAATAACTTTTTCAGTTGCACGTTGGCATTGGCAAAGAATGTGTTCTTGCTAATGAAAGTTATTTGGGTGTAAATTTCATTCCCAATGTAGTATAGTAAAATAATCCTCTGGTTCTTTTAGATCAAGTGTTTAGCCTCATGCCGCACATCCCAAATCACACATGCCGTATACCTCTAGATCTGGCTGATACGAGTGCTTGTTCGTTATTAGGATAATGGTAAACCTTTCCCTTTTCTGCCTAACTTAACCAGTATGTAACTCGTATTTAAGTCCCCTTAGTGACCCAGTTATTATCGGGTTAATTAGTCAGTCCGAAATACTACCTCATGCTGTATGCACACATTCAACAAAAAAGTGTTTTTGCCTGGTGAACCGGAGATCACGGTGGTTATATATGATACTATATTCTCTTTAATTCAAAGTTATGTCGCTATGCCTGGAAAATTCCTTTTTCCTTCTAGAACACCCGCCAGTAGAAGTAGGGTTAGTCACCCGAAATTGGAGCATAACTGGATTACGCGTTTTAAAGCGGCTGATTGGCCATTGTGGCGCACCGCTCTGTTCATCGCCTACTTTATAATTACGGATAGCGTATCCGCAACCCCTCTGTTCTCTTCCGCACCCCTCCGGGCTAATTGACGTTTCAATTTACCACTGGCGAGTCTGTCAAGCTAATCAGAAGCCGAAGGGGAGGTAGACCTTATTGGCATCGAAATTTTAAATATGCGTTTGGTGGCTTCAAACTCCTGTTAACTTACAAATGCGTTTCAGTCAATGTCAAACTTCTGTTGGTCTACCACAGATTGCTTGGAAATTACAAAAAGCAGCTGGGTGGTGCAGTGGGTAGCACTGCGCATCCTTTAACTACTCGCCGTGAGCTGCGCGGGTTCAAATCCCATCCCAAGTTAACTTTTCTCTTGGCTGTGAATGTAATGAGCATCCCTAGATGGTAGACGGTCGCGTAACTGGAAAGTAATGCCAGAATACATGGATGTCACATACACTCGTGTTTCCCTGCTGGAGTCAGTCAGTCATCATGTTTCTGTTGTATCATCCATAGCTCCTTAGCACCGACGGGTATTTAGAGCTTAGGCCTGCGTGGCACCTCAAGTATAAAAATGCAATGCATGCCAATCGTCAGACAAGCAGAGAAACGTAGTAGTAATATAACATTCGTTCGTCCGACCACAGACGCAGAACATTTTCGTGCTTTTGGCCAACATCTTAGTATAGTGTAGGCTTGCTCTTGGTGGGCAACGAACGAAAGCAGAGCAACTCTACTCTGTTCAGAGTATGAGGTTTATTGAAATAATACAACACTGAGTCCCATCTATTAGGATAATATATAATAAACGAAGCAATTCACTTGAAGACAAGGCTGTTTCAAGGTCATAGTTTAAATACCCCAGCGAAAGTGAAAGAGCCTTTAAACTATGATCCAAGAGCCAATCGTATTAAAATGGATCGATGTAACTTAGTTCAGAAACACTAGACTTTTGAAGAACGCTTGAAGAAAACATTCATCTGATCGCCTGACGTCTGTCACACCTGATGGTCCCGTTTAACATTGCTTTCTGCTAAACGCACATGATCACTCTGAGGGATACCGGTATTGCCGCGATTTTTTCGATCATAACCATAGTATGTTCTGCTCTCGACCAAGTGATACATCAAATACTGTTTTATGTGGTTCAGTGATTTGTGTTTGATTTTCACGGTCTGAAAACAGTGAAAACTTATGTAGAAAAGTATGAGGAAAGTTTTAAAATTGCTGAACAAACAGATGAAAGTGGAAAAAAAGCACGAAAATATAACTTACAAAGACAAGACAACCTCTATTCCATTAACGAATCACCAGAGGTTTATTTTAAGCTACAAAATAATAAAATTTTGTTCAAATCTCTACTTGTACAATGTTTATCTTTTTTTTAAATTTTTGATCCGATAGCTGACAACTAGCAAGCCCATATATCAAAATACTGTTCAGCGGTTAGATCGCTTCTGGAAAGCGCTCAAAGTACGCTACAGTAGCTCTACGGTACCATTATAGTAGTTGACAATGATTCTCGGATTGTATTTGAGTAAATCCTTCGTTAATTAAAACAGTTGTTAGATAAAAATGACATTTAAATTATTCATGTACGATTTCAATAATACAGTGGACCCCCGATAATCCGGCCCCTGTCTAATTCGGCGCCCAATATAATCCGACATGTCTTTGAATATTACATACATACATATTTGACAATCTTCGCTAATGTAATCCGACAAACATTATGCAAGGCAGTGTCGGACTATCGAATATGTCGGATTAAAGAGCACTGCCTAATACCCCCTATAGTCCGGAATTTTTTACAAAAGAGTACCTTGTAATCCGTCAAATTGCATATCCAATGGTAAGATGTTATGTATATGTATGTACTTTGAAGTACAAATCATACATAGTTTATGTATGTCCAATTTAGTAAATTAAATAACAATAGAGAGCATGTAAAAAAATAATCAAGAATTATTAATCAAAATCATTAATGAATTTATCAAATTATGAAGCTTGGAAATATCCATACTTTTTTTTGTTTGTTTAAGGTTGTTATAACGCGAGATCAGAGCTTTGTCTCTCAGTCTTCTCAAAAGTAAAAGTTCGTTGTAGGATGTACCATTCTCTTCAGCCCATTGTAAACCTAGCTCAAAGGCGTTAATTGTGTCTTGTGCTGTGACTTGTGGAGCAGTTGCAATCACGTCGTCGTTATTTTCCTGATTGTTTGTTGTATAATTGATCGATCAAACGAACTTACCTGAAGTGAAGTTCGATCGTAATTATACGAGGGTCCAGTCCGAAGACATCACTTTGTTTATTCACTATGTAGTCCGCCCCTGGAGTACGATCCGCGCACCAAGTTGAAAGACGAGAATCCCCACCTCCTCGCCGCGCCCTGGCCACTCGCGTTGAATCATTTGTTTAAAGAAATGGTACTTGCTCGCAACTTGGGAGGGTTGCATATAGGGTGGGGGTGATGTCTTCGGACTGGACCCTCGTATAATTACGATCGAACTTCACTTCAGGTAAGTTCGTTTGATCGATCAATTATACTTTGGGTCCAGTCCGAAGACATCACTTTGTTTATTCACTATGTAGATGTTTAAAGATGAGATAGAGTTGCGAGCGAGTTGATGATATAAAAAATACAAGTATACAAACACAAAAAGGCAAAAACATATATTCTGCATTCTCATAAACAAAAGCAAAAAACAAGGGGTCAATTTTTAACATTTACCCTAATAGTAATATTTTTTCAAAAAACAACTAGAGTACCTAAAGTACGTCACAAACTCTTAAACTGTTCTAACTAATCAGGCATTTATGTCCAAAATGGCATCTGCAAACTCATTGTTGGTTTGTAAAGGACGATTATAAAACTTTGCAAATGTGGAATGTTGCGTCCAACCAACTGTTTTACATATACTATCTACGGAAACGCCTTTTCTTAACGCCGTTGAGGTAGCCGCATGCCTGACTGAATGAGGCGTAAAAAAGTGTTGTGTTGACACCCGCCGATGCAAGAGTCTGTTTTACCCATCTGCTTAAAGTGTCTTTGGACGCCCTGGTATGTGGTTTTTTATATGTCACGAATAGAAAATCGTTGTCGGGTTCTCTCAAGCTAGCTGTTCTGTCAATATATTCCTTCAGGATGGTGGCTACGCACAGGAAAGGGTTTTGTTGAAAAACCGGTATATGCAAGGTTGGTTGAGGTTTCCCAATTCGACTGGTTTTAATTGGGTCTGAAATATTAATGGTAGTTTCGCTGGGACCATGGGAGGTATGTGAAAGACGAATAAGAGAAATTGTCTGGAGTCTTTCTCCTGTTATTAGAGCTAATAACGTTGTCAATTTTTGTGACAGACTTTGGAGGCTAAGTGGAGATGGTAACTTTTCTAGATAACTTAGGAGAGGTATAGGATCCCAGGTGGCCGAATATTTTTGGCCGAGAAGGCCGTAAACGATGAATGCCTTTTTTGAAGCGTCTAATTATAGGATTGGATGCTAAATCAGTTGAGCAAATTAGTGAAAGAGCAGATGTATGAGAATTAAAAGTGCCAGACGTGAGGTTTTTCTTCTTTGTCAACTCTTGCAAGAATGACACCACGTCTTTGATTGTGGGTTTAAAGATCGAAATGTCATTACTAAAGCAAAATTCCCACCACAATTTGTAGGAGCTGTTATATTGCTGCAATGTGGATCTGGAGACTGAGGCGATGATTGTAGAAATAGCAGATTCCGGCACCTCTCTACTCAAAAACGCTTGCCTGATAACTTCGCTGCTACCAGGGTAAGGGTTTTCGACAGCGGATGTGACCTGGAAACCGCACAAGATAGTAAATCAGGTGAAGGGGGAAAATGAATTTCTTGGTCGATCAATAACTGACGGAAAAGTGGGTACCAAGGTTGTGAAGGCCACCAAGGAACCACCAAAATTCCGACAGCCTTATCCTGAATTATTTTTTGTAAAACTCGGAGAATTAAGGTAAAAGGGGGGAATGCATAAAAATAAAAACTGTTCCAGCGAATTGTAAACGCATCGATATATGTAGATCCTGGATCTCTATGCCAGGAAGCGTATACCTCGCATTTCGCATTGGTATGAGAGGCAAAAAGATCGATCTCTGGTTTTCCGAAGATGTCGGTTAAATGGTCGAAGGCAGTTTGAGATAATGACCATTCCGTTTCAAAATTCAAGCTCCTGGACTCATCGTCTGCTATAGCGTTATCTTTAGATGGGATGTATGATGCAAAAAGCCAGAGATTTCTTTCCTCACACCATTGCCAAATTTGTTTAGCCAGAGAACATAGCTCTGGAAACCGAACACTCCCCATTCTGTTAATGTAAGAAACGGCTGTTGTATTGTCGCATCGAATTAGAATATTGCAATTTTTTAAAAGTTTTGCATAACACTGGATGCCGTAAAATATAGCCCATAATTCCAAATTATTTATATGCAATAGTTTTTGGGAGTCGGACCAGAAACCGTGGGTTCTATCCTGGCCAGAGCAAGCCCCCCATCCTGTTAGCGATGCGTCGGTAAAGATGGTGATATGAAAGGAATCATACCTTATGTCATTGAAAGCTGTTGAAATGTGATCTTTCCACCATGAAATATCGCTCTTTATGTTTTCAGGAATAGCCATACTTGCGTTATAATTTCCATTGTTTTTCTCTAAAGCTAAGAATTTTTCCCTTTCTAGAGATTTGCAATAAAGAAACCCGTATTTCACACCAGGACAAGCCGACACCAAGGTGCCAATGAACCTTGCCCAGTCGCGAATTCTACATCTCGATTGGTTCAAATAATATGAGGCTAACCTGAGGATGTGATTTTTCTTTTCGGCAGGAAGTTCAATTGTTAAATTAACACTATCTATCAGAAAGCCGAGGAATCTTATACGAGTAGTGGGTACCAGAATGCTTTTGCTGTTATTGATGATAAGACCCAATGAGCTTAAAAACCGAATGGTTGTGCTAACATTATTAAGGCAGGATTCATAGGAAACTCCAAAGATTAGAAAATCGTCTAAATAATTGACTGTAGAGATGCCTAAATTGCGGAGAAAAGAGACGACTGGCTTCATAAGCTTTGTGAAACATAACGGAGCTGTACATAACCCAAACGGTAGGCAAGTGAATTGATACAATTGGCCATCAAAGTAGAATTTTAGAAATTGTTGATGGTCGCTGTGGACAGGTACTAAAAAATACGCATCTCTCAAGTCGATTGTGCACATGTACACGTTTTTATGAGTCAATTTTATAGCCGTACGAAGGTCCTCCATTTTGAAATGCGGGCATTCCACATATTCATTTAACTGTTTCAGGTTTAATATAAATCTTTTTCCCCCGTTGGATTTATCTGC